TAAAATTCATTATTTCACATCAATATTAGCTAAGTATTTCTCACTAATTTACAGCCTGTATAACAAGCATATTTGTTTACTTAAGCGATCAACAATGGCCTCCTAAGCCGACATCTTGCTTTCGCTCGTCACGCACTCCCTCTCCACACGAACAGATTGCGTGACACGCATTAGATTGTGTGACGAGCAAACCAACATCTGCGCAAGAGGCTCGACATTAAATTTACGCAATTTGTACCCGTTCTGATGAAATCTATTTACCTCCTAACATGACAGAAGCCGAATCTGGTTTATATCCCACAAAAATAATCACTAAATCTTATATACGTTTCTTTGAAGCTTGCAAAAATCCATCATATTCAAAAACGATTTGAGTGGGTGCGTACAAGCGTAAATGCGTAACTGCTGCGAGTGCGTGACCATCGTTGTAAACGGTGTTACCAAGTGAAATGCGAATGACGCAAAGACTACTAGCGCGTGAAAAGTATGTGATGTAAGATTCCTTAGCATTTCCCTATTTTTGCTGGCAAGTCAAGCATCAAAACGAAATACAGTCAGCCAGAACCAAAATTACGAGCTATGTGATATCATCTCCCCAAACCAGCCCCTAAATTATCTCCTTAGGAAAAATAGATTCTTTTCAGGCATTACCAGAGTTACTTCATCTACTGACAACCAGATCTTCGCACTTGTCACTGAGAGGAGGACTGGGGCTAACCGACCGAGGCTTCCTCTCAATGAATTCGTCGGAATCTGCTTCATCGTCTGTGAGATCGTTTCCGCTGCCAATGTGCTCATAACTGTCCGTGTTTTCTTCGGTAGAACTGGCATTCGTCTCGGCACAAGTCGGTTTGATCGTGCTGCACTCGGTTAGAGTATTCGTGATATCGTTCGTTGGAGCGTTCGACAGTTCTTCGACGCCAACAGCATCGCCGTTGGCAAGTACCTGAGTTTTCAGTTTTTCAAAGTTTTTCTTTAAGCTTTCGTTCTCGGCTCGTAGAGATCGGATGATGCCCTGAAGTTCGGTCTGGTTTATCTGCATGGTGTTAATGGTGCTCTCCAGGCTCTGAACAGTGTTTCGAGCACAAGAGAGTTGCTCATTAAGATTTTGGATCTGTTTGGTCTTAATGGTGTTTTCCGCCTCCAGTGACTCTACTCGTTCACTCTCGATCTCGTCAAACGACGCGATACTTAAATCCTCCTCTTTGAGAACATTGTATTCCACCTGAAAAGAACGCAATCAAAACATTTTAGAAGAAAAAATTCCAAGATTACACTGGGCTGGTTACAAACTCTTTCTAATAAGCCCCCTCCCTAACAGAACTTCCTCCTAAAGAGCCACCAGACTCACAAGACAATGACTTCAGAAGTATATCACTCACCTCGTAAGACTCGAGATCTTTAGTTATGTCGAGAGACAGTACTTGACTGACCAGCCACTCCACATTCTGTTCTGCAAATGGCGGCAGTGAAGTTTTCATGACCTCTACAGCACCTTCCAGTCCATCACTGGTCAGCAGTTCCTCTTGGCAAGACCCAAGTATAAGCAGGACCACCTTTAACAGTCAAAACAAAACCTGTTGGTCAGTTTCTGCAAGCAAGAACTCCATTGCTTTTTATCATATGCACAGCAAATGAGCCTGGGGACTGGAACACTATCCGCAGGTGAAGAAAATAGATGAGACAAAAAGGGACCAGTGACAATTGACAGTGGATTGATGTTGTAGGCCAGCCAACGAGAATTAATCGTGTTTTCCACTAAGATTTCGACCTTTTTGGCGTCGGCTAAATAACACTTTCCTGCTGAGTGTTCACACTCAGTCAACAACTACCCGAGTATAGTATCAAGCCAGTGAACAGCCTATAAGCCTTGACAGTTTAGTGTTAAACGATGTTCTATATCTAAACGATGAAATCAGGTCTTTCCATATAACTCTAACACTGAAACATGAAACATGACAGCTAAAGATACACGTAATTAATGCAAAGGTCAGGCTGGAATCCCTCCCGAAAACACTGTGCAAGGATTACCGGCTGAATATATTGATACACTGACTTTGGCAGTGGGTCTATTGTGAGTAAGAAGTACGAGTGATTCAGGGAAACAAGCTGACCTTGAATACGACCTCCATTCCTTGAAGGAACATCATATCTGAAAAGGGGAAAAAGAGTTCACTCACTCACCCTTAGAAAAAACACTGAGTTGAGGAACAAAATAACAATCAACAACTGCTGCACAGGTTCGCGTGAGCTGTTGTTCCTCGACTTAGTATCAGTTGACAGAAGATGCTTGTGCTCACGCGAACCTGTCCAATAGTTTTCGATTGTCATTTGAACCAGTCAGAAACTTGCACAATAATTTGAAGTACACGTCACAATGCTGTCACTCTAAAGTCGCGTTACTTAGCAACCTCCCCACTGAAACGGCAAGCTGAGTCAATAACAAATAATTTTCTTGTGCCCAAACTTTGCTTACATAAGTGCAGGTGCACTTATTTCCTAACTAAACTTAACAAGCGTATGGCGGCAAACAAAGAAAACACCACTCACCTAACACTCGTGCCACAAAGCCTACTGGGAAGTGAGACGCGAAGAGCGTGAGGAACCATGGGGCAGCGTAAAGCGTCGGTGTGATCTCCAGTTCCAGGAGAAACTCGTGCACTGGTTCATAGTAATCATGTAACAACCTTGACAGCATATAAAATTGTGCCTGGAAATAGGAGAGTGAAACAAGTGTTTGTGCATTACAATATGAGCATTGATTAACATGTCCAATAAGCAGAGTGTCTAGTATGATTTAGAGTGAATGGCAGGAACTGCAAAGCAGTCCAACTGCTAACTTGATTGTCATTAATAAGCCTCTTGTAATCAACAATAACAGGGCACTAAGTCCGTCAGGATTACAACAGACACAGCGACTGCAACCCTTAAGCTTTTTTTCTGTCTCAGTGCACAGCTCTCCATCTAGCCTGGTGCATTTTATACTAAAGTTTAACCCCACTTTCTCAAACTCGGTTGTTTTGAATTCAAAACCATTTTTCTTGGATTTGCCCATTTACTATCGACTACTTTGAACTCCCACTATTTCGCACTAGTTTTCATTTTCCTCGAGTTCAAATAAGCGGGATTCAACTATATGTCACTATTTGTTGCAAAAGACAGAAAGAGGAGCGTTAAATCTTCAATTCAGTCCTCAGAATCTCCAAGTTTCTGCATCCGATCAAGTTCACACCCTCGGAGTTCACACCCAACTTTTCGATTATCAACCGCCCCCCCCCCCCCCCCCNCCCCCAACCCCCCAACCCCCCAAAAAACATTGCCTTGAAAATCCTTTTCAGTGTCTTGTTTCAGACTACAGAAGTGGACTGAAGCCATTTCTTGTTCTTCTTCTCAGTGTCCTTACCTGTAAGTCTTGCATGTCCGGTCTGTACTGCTTCCGAACGTGAAGCCTGTACATCATAAACCTGAGAGTATCAAACGCATCCTGTTCCTTCATGTGCATCAGTAGGATTCCAGCTACAAAGCTGAGGCCCTGACAGTAACCAACCTCTTCATCTAACACAGAGTATGCCTTCAGAATGTTAAACAAACACAGCTGACCATGACCCAGCTGAGCAGAAAAGTATGGGTGACTGGGAAATGTGCGACCTGGGAAAGAAGATAATGACAAAATTACTAAGCAACCCAACATGACCCTTTATAGGTATATGTACAACTACCAGTGCTTAATTGATCATAATATTATGCCTCGGCTGGTCTTTGAAGCGAAGTTCAAGTAATATATCAAACACGAAAGGCCGTGTTTGATCACATTTCCGAACACTGAGAAGAGAGTTGAAAATACAACACGCAGCAGAGTATTTTTGACGAACTTTGAGGCGTTTGGAAATGTGGTCAAAGCAGCACTGTCTACATTGACTGATTGATTGATTGATTGATTGATTGATTGATTGATTGATTGATTGATTGATTGATTGATTGATTGATTGATATATCTTCTCAATCGAAACTAACCCTAAGGAGAAAACAGAGAAATAAACTCGTAAAAATCTATGCTTATTTAAATCAGATATCCAAACACAGTCATGATTTCCTTGTTTAAACTTGATGACTAATAATACGTTTGAGAATTCTACATCAACACTGTCCTTCTTACTCACCTAAATCAATAAAGATGGAGTGCTGGTGGCAGGTGGATCCCTCTTTGATCTCATCGAATGACTTCTCTCTCCACATAGACATGTGTTCCTCTTGCGGTGGTGAATGTAAGTCATGCTGCTTGGCCAGGAACATCCATATCTCACCTCTCATAGCTTTAGGCACCCCTTTGAAAAGGAGAAATCAGCAGTAACAAAGAGAGGATTAGTGTAAACTCAGGAATTTAGCATTTTTTCTGTCAGAGGTGGGATTGGAAGAGCATCCTGGTTCTTTGCCGTGTGTGTTTGACATACACTGTACATGCATCTGGTATGTGAAACCAGCAAGAGTATTGTGATGCCCCATGGATGTCTCAAAATCATATGCCGTAAGAGACAAACTTCTATGTAACTAACAAGATTTGGCGCAGTAAAGGCCTGTCCAAACGGGAAATGTTTGGCGACCAAACATCATCAAACATTGTTTGGTGACTAAACATGCTGATGCTGAAGTGAGTGGCCAAACGGTTAAAAAAAGTTTGATCAAACACAGATCAAACTATGGATACAAGCCGCTGAGCAAGCGTGGGACACATGTGCACACCAAACATGTTTGATACGGCTATCCAAACGAACAAAACATCGCCCATCAAACACGAGAACAAAAGAAATGTTTTAAGTTGTTTGATCAAATGTTTGAAGGTCGTCAAATTTTATCAAACACGAGCAAACACGATCAAACAGCACCAAACAAGGCGGCCAAATGGTAAAATGTTTGGTCACCAAACAATGTTTGATGGTGTTTGGTCGCCAAACATTTTCCATTTGGACAGGCCTTAAGAAGGGTTGGCATTCATACCAGCT